GGGGGAGGGGGAGGGGAAGGGAGGGATGTGTGTTTCCGGGAGCGCAGCGAGACCCCGCAACGCTGGTGGGGGCAGGCGGGCTTCTCGCTTCCGCGGGTGCAAGGCAAAATGTCGAAGTCGGTTGCCGCTTTGTTGCTTTCCTGTCGAAGGGAGGTGCAGTGACTTAGTAGGAAGCAGGTGGAGGTAAGGGACCTAGAGGGCTGCCTAATTTTTGAGCGTGTTTTGGCCAAACCCCTCTTAGCCACTTTACAGGCAGAATAACCAGCTTTAGAAACAGCCAGCTCTCAAAACTAGTTAGATAAGTGGCAACTGAAAAGGAAGATTAACATCATAAAGCTTGTTAGAAGCTCTCCACTCCCTAGCGTGTGTAGTTGTTGTGATGCATGTTAGCAATGCTACCCAGAAAGTCACAGTGTAACTGCATGCTCTCCAGCAAGTCAGTGGTCACTGGTCAGTGCGAGTAAAAGCTCTGCCTTTTTGCCACAGAATTATGAGTGCCCCCAGTTTGTAAGCTGTGATTCTTGAGCTCTTTGTCTCTGGTGTTTAGTTCCATCTGCCCCTGCTTTGCTGCCTGATAGCTAGATGGCAACTATCAGTGCCTAAACTAATCCAAGTTCAGGCAACACATAAGTATGGAATCAGAAGCCTAGTTATGAAACCGCTGATCTTTCTTGACAGTTGTGTGCTTAGTTAATGTGTTTCTGTATCTGGATGCAGGGCAGAACTTCACGAGGTCCTGGAAGAATATAAAGAAGGAGCTGCAAAATTTATAGGTAAAGCATGTGTGTTTGCTTGCATGTTTGGAGAGATAATACAGGTAGATCCCACTGGTGCATTTTTAGGCAGTACAGTTGCCAGAAAGACGTAGGCATAGGCTTTCCACATTTAGGCACTTTCTCACTCAAATGGCATTAAGTAAGACTCGAAATAGTATGTTGTCAAGACTATGGCCAGAAATCCTTCAAAAACTATGAAAATATGTAATTTTTCTTTGTTTCTATTTTTCTACACCCAGCCTTCTCCTTGGGGGCTTTGGCACTGACTGGCGTGAGCTTAGCTCAAAAGTTGAGACTACAACTGAGAGAGATTTTAGCATAGCCCCCAGTCACTGCTGCAAATGAATCCTGCCAAATGCAATTTCTGACTGTTTTTGATGAGAAGTAGAAATTGCCATGAAAATGGCCTTCCCCATACAACTGTCCGAACACATTTCCTGAGAATATCTCTCTGCTCAAGCTGGCTTTTTTTGATTCTCATAAAGCAGTTGGTTTCATCTGAAGATTTTCAACAGGAAATCTTCATCCAGTGTGAATAATAAACAAGCAAAGCGCCCCATGTTAAATCAGTCTCAGCTGGTGTACACTTCTGCCTCTCAGCTATTCTTGTTCTGAGAAGGTGTTAGGGGAAGAATCCATGTCTGATTTGTGGGAGCTTTGAGGAACTAAAGGAACAGGTGGAGAAGCTTGTTTTTCCCCTGGTCTTTGTTCCTGTCAGTTTAGCAGTTGGACTGTACTTGCTTCCTGTAAATCTCCTTCCATGTTTCCATGTTAAAGAGTTAGTTTTAGGAATATACTCGATTTTGCTGATGGGTAGTGACATGCAAAACAGTCAACGTTGCTGTAGCCCTGAGGTACTGCACCATGCCTTTGTGATGTTCATCAGTGCCTGTACTCCATTCTTGGAGCAGTTCACGAATGAAATGTTTGTCTTAACACCTTGGTGATAAGAATGAGTAAAGCACAGTTCCTGCATTTGTCACTCTCTTGGATTTTTCCTCTGGTTGTCATAACAGATCAGTAAAGGCCTGACCACATGCATTACGCAGCCAAGACCAGTGTTGTTGGGCTCATGTGGTGAAGGAACCTGAGTGTGCAATGAATGCAGAGTTAGCATCTTGTGTGAAAATTCATATCATAGCCTGTATTTATATCTGAGGAGGCAGCTCAGAGAACTGGAGAATGATCAGCCCAGTCAACAAGCTTCTGTGGGATGCTTTGTTTGTCTATGTATCTCAGGCTATAGTGGGTATAGGGTTAATCCTGTCCAAGTGATGGCATGTCTTTAACTTCTGTAATTTACAGACAGTTCTTTGTATATGGAATCTAACGGGCTTTGCAAGAAAAAAAACTTTTGAGTTGCTAATGCTTGTATCAAAGCTGAGGTATTTTTATGAATATTTTGTATGTGGCAGTTACACATACATTAGGAACGTATAAAATAATGTCAATTATTACAATTTTTAAAAATGTTTAAGCATTTTTGTCCTATATATGGAGACCAAGCTTTTTATTTTATCAAAATTTTGGACATGCATTTCATTACATAAGCAAAGTTATGGCTTGGATTTCCATAGGAAGTTTGCACCCAACTTTCAGTAAACTTCAGCTGCCTTGGGACAACTTATTCCTTCAAGAAAAATCTCTTATCTGCAACTTCTTGGAGGCTTCACCAGTTTCAGTGACTATCTGTGAAAAGAAAACAGTATGTCATTGAGACATACCATCTAGCTTTCTGTATGAAATGTGAAACCTCCAATCTGGCAGGGATGATGAATTTCTTATTTCTGTAGCTGATCTGTTCTCTCGCTATATGTTGGCCTTCCTGAAAATTTCTAGGCATGAGCTGTTGCTCAGTTTAGATTGTGTCAGATGTGTATCAACAGATACACACTCCGGTGTATCAGTTGAGTGGTCAAGTGACTCAACTGTTGTGTCTGGCAAATTTTAGTAGCAGGAGTATTAATCAAGAAGAAACATAAATAGATCTCAAAGGAGCTATGTAGACTGCTGAAACAAAGGGTTTTATTTGATGGTTTGTCCTGATGCTGCACTCTCCTCCCTGCAGCTAGTAAACCTGGGGAAAAAGTCTGCCGCCTTTGGTGCTGAGAGATTAAATGAACAGTATTTTCTTTGTCAGAAAGGATTTATTTGTGTGGGGAAGAATACCCTATTCCCTTTTGCAAATTTACAAACCACATCTTTGCATTAGCTTTGTTTTGGTTTGTGAAAGTCTACTTTGTGTCTGTCTCTTTGTTCCCAGGTATGCCAGATGCGGTGCTGTACTGCTCCCTTCACGACCCGGTCACTCCCTGTCCATCTGGCTACAACACAAACAAGGTACAGTAACTGTAAAGATTTGAAAGAATCCACTTAAAGTTCCAGAAAGAAAGCTGCCAGTCCTCCCCTCATCTGTGTGGGTGTGCTTAGACAGCCACAATGTTTTTTTATGCTTTTTAGAAAAATAAATCTTTGCACAAGGAGGAATGTTATTTACATGCTCGTACCTCCAACTAAATAAAGCTGGACATTTTCTTACTTGACAGTGTGTTCCCTAACAGTTCCTGAGCAGTTAAGTGGCAATTCAGATAGGAAGGAGAGCTCTGGACTCCCATGCTGTTGCAGTTATAGAATCATAGAAGGCTTTAGGTTGGAAGGGACCTTAAAGATCATCTAGTTCTGACTCCCCTGCCACGGGCAGGGACACATCCCACAAGACCAGGTTGCTCAAAGCCCCATCCAGCCTGGTCTTGAACACTTCCAGGGATGGGGCATCCCCAGCTTCCCTGGGCAACCTGTTCAGTGACTCACCACCCTCATAGTGAAACATTTCTTCCCGATACCTAATCTAATTCTACCCTCTTCCTGTTTGAAGCCATTCCCCCTTATCCTATCACTACATGCCCCTGTAAAAAGTCCCTCTCTAGCTTTCTTATAGGTGCCCTTCAGGTACCGGAAACCTGCTATAACATCTCTCCAGAGCCTTCTCTTCTCCAGGCTGAACAACCCCAACTCTCTCAACCTGTCCTCATAGGAGAGGTGCTCCATCTCTCTGATCATCTTTGTCGCCCTCCTCTGGACTTGCTCCAACAGGTCCGTGTCCTTCTTGTGCTGAGGACTCCAGAGCTGGACACAGTACTCCAGGTGGGGTCTTGCAAGAGTGGAGTAGAGGGGCAGAATCACCTCCCTTGACCTGCTGGCCACGCTTCTTTTGGTACAGCCCAGGATGCGGTTGGCTTTCTGGGCTGTGAGCGCACATTGCCAGCTCATGTTGAGCTCCTCATCCACCAGGGCTGCTCGTTCTCCTCAGGGCTGCTCTCAATTGATTCCTCGTCCAGCCTGTAATTGTGCATAGGATTGCCCCCGCCCATATGCAGGACCTTGCACTTGGCCTGTTGAACTTCATGAGGTTCGCACAGGCCCACTTCTCAAGCCTGTCAAGATCCTTCTGGATGGCATCCCTTTCCTCCAGCATGTCGACAGCTCCACACAGCTTGGTGTCATTAATATGGTAGTAAAAGAAAGTACTTGTGTTTTAGCTTATATGCTGTACAAGCTTATGGTGATGCTACTGATAAGCAATAAACCTGAACCTCTGTGTGTGTATTTACAGTTTACTACAGGCCCACAAAGGGGAAGAACTTAGTATTTCTGCAGGAAGGTGGCTCAGTGATCGAGGAGTGTGTAGTCTTGTGGATGTTTGCCCATTCTAGCCCACAGGCACGCACATTCCCTCTGCAGTCCACATGCTACCTGCTGCCTGCCACAGCTTTGGCCTGGAGGGGCCACTTCTGGCACTTGCTTAGGTATGGTCAGTCCCAAGGCATGTTCAGACATGGTCACATTTGGTGAAAGGTCACTGAACAACAGAGGGTAACTACTGTCAGAGTGTTTCTTTTGCAGCATATATTCTTTGCTGCTGGGTTCCAGGCTGAGTCCTGGCTCTCTGCAGGGAAGGAATTATCTGAAGCTTGTCTCACTGTTGCACAGCTTTGAGGTGATAGCAGGGATGTGGCAGGTTTTCTTTTTTTTGAAGCTGGTGAAGATTTTTGTCAGCTTGTTACAAGGCCTTCTGCAGCTGTATCTGTGCTGGCAAATACTTATGAAAGCTTTTTGAAAGCAATGGGACAGAAAGCCTGACACAGGCTGGGTTTAAATAATCACAGGGTAATGCTCGGTTTCCTAAGCCATATGGCTATTTTATTTCTTAAAGCAGCTTTTTTCCTCTGGACAGCAGAATGAAGGTAACTAGACTTGATTACACTCTGTGTCCTTTGTCTCAAACAGTTCTGACTTTACTCCGCCTGCCTTCACCAGCTGTTACTTGATGCTCTCCCATAAGAGGCAGCAGGTACTAACTGGCCAACATGCTGATGCAGGACAATATATAGCTGCTGTGTTCCAATTGTTCTGCAGGTACTAATTTGGGATCTTTCTCCTTTGGAGTTATTTATTTTTTTTAATGGGAAACTTACAAAAGTGTTATTACTTTGGAAACTTCTGTCTGTTTCTTTGTTACTCAAATTTAGTGAAATTGGCTGATGAGGGCAAAAGTAATCAGGAGAGATGGATGGATGGATGGACGGAAAGCAGACTTGTGTATTTGCACAATCCTTCTGTTTTTTGTGGAGACCAGACAAAAAAAAATTGTTCTGCTCGTATTTTTTTTTTGCATCAGCTGAGCACATTCAATTTGTGAATTAGTATGCATGAGAACTGCACTGCTTAATCTGTCTGTCTGGCATAGGCTAGGAGAATGCCTCATTTAAAAAAGCACTAATGGAGTTGCAGATAAAAAGAACTAACTTCTAAAGGGCTCGAGCCCAATACTGAACCTGCTTGAATACCCTGTTAAAATTTTGGAGCAGCAGTGTCACAAGTCTAACAATAATACAATGAAACCAACTGCCAAGCTGCACTCACAGGTTAATCAAAGATTTCACAGAATAGGATAAAACATGGTAGCATGCGTAGATGCAGAGGCTGCGGTAGCATTTTGTGAATCTGAATGTTTAGTGAGTTGAATAGTAACATCTGCTAGCCCAGAAGTGTTCAGGTAACACAGCCTCTCAGTGCAAGTGCTTTTGTCTTGCTTTAAAATCTTTTATGAGGGTGGCATGGAGTAATGATGGAAGATGGATGCCCATGTGTGCACACGGAATGGAAAGCATGTTAATAGACTGCGGAGACTGTGTGTACAATCCTAATGAGTATCTGCCATTTCTTATGTTGCTCAGTTTGAAAGCTCTGTATTTGTTTTGCACTTGGCATTTCAGTCCCTTCTTAAGTGGCTGGATTTGGGACCTAAAATAAAATTAAATTAAATATTTTCTTCTTTTTAATTTTTTTTTTTAATTCTGCCAGCAATTTGTGTGATGATAGGCCAGCAGCTCTACCTCAGAGAATTCCAAATATGTTGAGAAGTCACCGTGTTGAGTGTGTGTAATGGTTTCACCAAAGGCTATCCCAGAAATCCCAGTTTCGTCATTTATATCCTTTCACGCATTGTGCCAAGGGCAGCTGATTATCTATTATCTATGCTTCTGTAGAGATTATCTATGAAGTATCATTCCAGTATCTGGTGTTTCACCAGAGGCATCCCTTCTCTCCTTTGACCCCTAAGGTCTGTTAATCTTTGCAACTAACCTTCATCCCTATGCTTCCTTGACAGATAGTGTCCCTGTGGGGAAACTCGGGGCGCATGGAAATGACAGCTTCCAAGTTCATGGACATACAGCGGGCCATCCAGCCAGACTGGTTCCAGTGCATCTCTGATGGAGACACCATTGCTGGAGAAGTTGGTAGAAAAAGAGCTAAGAAGTCTGTGGATAGGTCACTTTCCTTCCTGGACGTATGCCTTCAGCTGCTAGAGAAATCACCGGTAAGGTACCCAAAATATTGGGACAATAGCACTGCAGCTGCTTTCTGTTCTGTGCTGCATCCTAGGCCAGTCCCAAGATGTGATTTAGTAGGAAATTATGTCATGCATATGTTTTTTTCTGCTTTTGAAATGTAGTGGCTTTCTCTCACTTACCTTCATGCTGTCTACATGGGCAATGTAGGATCTTCTCATTCAGATTGAGACAACTCATCTTTTTGCTCTGAAGTCCCCTCAGTTCCAAGCAAGGGAGGACTTGCTAGAATTTGCCAGTGCTATTCTTACTTCTTCCAGCAGGTGTGAAACTTCCTTCCCTTTTGGTGAAAGGGGACATATTATCTGAATCTGTGCTACAAAGGAAAATGGGTGACAGGAGCTGATATTTGTATCCCCTGAAAGGCAATTTATTGTGAGATCTGCTGTCTGACAGCCAGGATAATGGCACCTGCTTTGTATTCTGCACTGACACATGTAGTGCTGAGGGGACATCTATAAAAAGCCATGTACAAAGATGATCTGTGGTTATTGCTTTCTATAGGGAGGTGGGAAGAATGGCACCAAAATTATCGGTGAGTTAGCGTGAAGATAAGGAGCAGAATCTTGTCTCTCCTAATCCCATTTCTAATTTACGCTTGGACTTCACAGTGTTGTGTGGGGAATACTCTTACGTGGAATAAACATTGTGGCTCTGGCAAGTTACTGGGAATGTGGGGCTTAAGTAGCAGGCATCCGGAGTCTGGGCTGTGAGATGTCTTGCTTGTCTTTGGCAGAGCACACTCTAACACTTGTAGCTTTCTCCTGGGCCAGGAACTACAAGGAAGTGTAATGTTTGGGGCAATTGAAGGTGGAGATATCTTGGAAGAGAGGCTCAGATCAGCCAGGGAGACTGCCAAGCGACCTGTGGGTGGCTTTCTGCTAGATGGCTTCCAGGGATGTGCCATGGCCAAGGAGACCAAGTTGAAACTGATAGCTTCTGTCACAGCAGAGTTGCCAGAGGATAAACCAAGGTAAGTTGTGTGGGCAACATCCCAAGACAGAGAAGGAAATAATTGCTGTGTTGCACAGCTCCATATGGGTGCCAGGCTGAATAAATTCTGCCATTGTCTGGCTGCAGCCTTCAACCCTCGTTTCAGTTCTTAGCTGCAACTTGCACCAAGCTGTGCTCACACTGTGGGTTTGAGTATTCTCCATGTTTGGAGAATAATCAAGATTTTAGTTCAAGTCGTCTTTACTTTTTTTGAGAAGAATTGCAGGTAGGTTATGTCTGGGTAGCTTGCATTTGACCTCTGAGGCTATGGTTTACTTGAAGTTCAGCTTGAACAAGAATGTTATTATCAACCTATTTTACAAGGATTACTTCTCAGAAATACTGTCATGTTTCCGATTCTCTCTGGTCTGAACTGGGGGAGAGCAGAGAGAGGTGCTGACAGAAGCAGCCAGTGCTTACGTGATCTTATGGCAGCCAGCTCTGACCTTGTACCTGAGGCACTGAGCCTGTGAACTACCAGAAGTGGTACAGCCTGGTCCAAAACAATTGTATTTTCTGCTTGGACTGGTATAGTGTGGGAACCATTGTGAGTTATGCCCATCTGATCCATGCCAGAGACTGGACAGGAGCGGCCGCATTCTTGCCTCATATAAATGACTAGCAGTAACCAAAAGCTTCCAGAAAATGCATGCTAATATTTGCTAGTTGCTCAGAACTGGAAGGGTTTCTTAGCATTGGGTTGAGCTTGCTGGCTTTTGCATGGGTTGCTCTTGCAAGAGCAGCTGCAACAGAAGTAGTATGGGTGATGTTTTCCTTGTTTCCTGAAGAGAGTGACTCAGGCCCCATTGTCTTTCAGTAGTCTGCTGCCCTCTGCTAGCTGAGCATTGCTCTTACCTAATGGTGCTCAAAAGGAAAGGAAATGTGAAAGGACGTGTCTGGTGTTGCAGCTTGTTCATGCTTAGTGGTACCTGGGGTTTGAATTTTCCTGACAATTAGAAGGCTTGCTGGGTTGTTGCCATCCTGTCTGGTTGAGCTACTTAAAAAGATCCCCTGGGAGCATTAAAGTCCAATCTGCTCAGCTAACCTTAGTGGCTACCACTGTATCTGCCTCATCTATCAAATAGTTTGCTTGTCTGGTTAAGACAGGTGTTTCTGACCTCTTTGTAGGAATAAAGCTGGTTAGCCCTAGGGGATCCTGTAAGTACCTCAAGTGAATTTCAGACAATCCTGCTTTCCTGAATCACCCTTGCTGTTCTGGCTGGAGGAGTTGCTTTATAGCTGTTTTCTACCCCAATATGAAACTCTCTAGAAGACAAATACTTTCTGTGCTTCACCCAAAAAGCAACTGGGTTTTGTGTGATGGTGAAATGATCTTATGAGTGTACTTTTTAGAGACCTTTCATGTACCAAAAGATGCTGAAGCCTCTCAGTAAAATTTATTTTCCTTTTCAATAGTATCAGAACCCTTGCAAGAACAAACGTTTGTCCTTACCTGCGCAAAGATAAGTTTTAGCAAGGGTTTGGATCATATATGCAGAGCTACTGTTTTAACTATTGAGGATCATTTTCTCCCTGCCATGAGAGCCTGAAACGTAAGACACTCATGCTGTAAACTTCTCCCATCCTTATTCTGTGCTCATCGATTTAATTGGAGTGCTTAGAAAAGTGACTAAAAATGGCACCTTGTGACTTCATTTATCAGCCCCTGTGTATTTTCCTAATTATCTGGTTAGATCATTGCCCTACATTAGCTGCTGTCAGCCCAGCCATGCACCTGCAGGAGAGCAGGCACTTCTCTGTTCTCTTCAGCTTCACCCACCCTCAGGGAAGCTGCCAAATAAATTTGGCTAACAGCAGGATCTCTATTACCATTGATGGCAATCCAGCTGGGCTCTTCCTGGCTCTTAATGCCGTGTCCCAGGAGATGTTACAGCCCAGGTTTTTGGGTAAATCATTTGAGCAGGTAGAGTGTAGGGGAGAGAGAAGAATAAAGCAAGGAACTTTTCTCTTTCCAATGACATTTCTCATTAGTACATTCTCCTCCAGGCAGTTCTCCAAGTGCTGTAAGATGTGTCTGTCACCTGAAGGACTTCTGCCTTTGACCAGCCATCTACTGCTGTCTCTGCTGCTCTTGATCAAGTCTTCTTAGACTGTCTCATAAGCAGTTACAAAACAAAGGGGTCCATATGTCTGGAAACTGGTAGTTCCTTGGGGCACAAACATGACTAAGGAAAATATCTGCTCTAAGGCATATATATTAGGTGAATTTTGAATTTAAGTGTATTTATGTGTGTGTGAAAGAAACGAAATCACTTCAAACATAATGGACAGAATGAGGTTTTTCCTCAGTGAATGAAGGATTATTGCTCCCTTCCAAATGGCAGATGAAGAAAAGCCTGCCATGTACTGGATAGGTTGGAGGTGGGGAAATGGAAGCACACAGGATTCTGAGCTATGACTGTTGTACCCACTTGCCTTCTGGTTAGCAGTTGCAGGGATAAGCTACACATGCTGCATATGTGCCTTTTCCTTCAGGTACCTGCTTGCTTGTACTCAGAATAATCAAGATTTGTCTTCTTGTGTGTCTCTTACAGAATCATCCATGGTGTAGGCAAACCAGATGAGGTGCTTGAGTGCATTGAGAGGGGAGTGGACATTTTTGAGAGTTTCTTTCCCTTCCAAGTGACAGAGCGAGGCTGTGCTTTGGTTTTCAGTTATGACTGCCATCCAGATCCTGAAGCAGCAGGTAGGCTTCCTGGTGGTCATTACAATTTTTACTGTTTCAATTAGTATTGCAGCAAGCATAATTCATGCTTTGGAGGAACCTGTATTTGAGATTTTTGTTCCTGAGGTAAGTGCAGTGACCACTGGAAAAACTGGAATTCCACTGTCAAGTGCTGCTCTTGAAGGTCGGGTATTTTGGTGTGAAAGCTGTTGAAGGCAACTTGAGGCCTCAGCCTGGGATCTGAATGTCTGATTAGCCAAAATGTTTTCAAATATTTCTTAAACACTGAACAGAAGGTGGGCTTTTTTTTTTTTGTTCGAGACCATTGGCAAATTTTTGTGTTACCATTAGCAGTGAAGACTGGACTTACTTAAGTGGAGATCTAAGATACTTGATCTCTCGAATTAACTGGATATGTTTGTTTTAATAAGGTATTTTTTAAGTCTCTTCTCCTTTCTAGTTGACAAATGTTAGGGATCCCATTTCTTTGGGCAGCTTTCCTCCTTGTCCTTGCATTCATTAGTTCATATCAGGACAAAATGGACGTCTTCATAACTCATTACCTCATTGTGCTGTGAGATGGGAGCTTGTGTATCACCCATTAAAGCATCCATCAAATGTGTTTCAACTAACCATCCTGTTTGGGCCTATTAAATGTTTTTAATACAGAAAAACGTTTTACATTTTTCCTCTTGGGTAGAACCTAGTGGTTTTTCTTGCCTGGATAATTTAAACCAGCTGAATAGAACAGAACATCTTGTTTCTTTGTGCTTGCTGCTATTTTTTTAACCCTTCTCTTTCTTGTTCTTTACCTTGTCTCATCTTATTCTTAAATCATAAGATTCTGGATGAGGACAATCTCTTTGTTCTGTCTGTGTTTAACACTCAGTAGACATGGACTGTGCAAACAGTAATATTGATGTTTCCAGACACATATCCTACTTAAGAAAGCCTAAAAATGCAAACCTACAAAATTATAGGGTCATTTTTTATTTTTAAGGTAGACTACTGAGAAGGCAGATGTGGAATCTACGTCTTCTGCATCAGTGCTACCAGTCTCTTTTTATTCTAATTCTTAAAAAAAAAAAAAAGGCATCTAAATCTCTGAGCCTGATGACAGCATGGAAAGTAGAATGATTGAATGCAGATGAGTTGCCTGTCTACTCTAACAAAATCTCAATAAAATCAATTTGTTCAGGTGACTGCATTCTATTCAGCATGCAGTTCAGACTGTAAATATTTTTGACATTTTATTAAGAATTCAGCTCAGCAGAGCAACAAAAAGTTATACTGTTGTTTCAGCTCTAACTTTTCATTAGGTTTAGTAGATTAGTTTTCACATGTCTCTTGCAGTTTTAATCATCTAGAATTGTATTTGTGTTAACTAACCTATGACAATTAAAGAAAAATAGTTGCTTACTATAGGAAAGAGGTTGAAACTTGTGGCAGGAGTTTTCATCTGGCAAGAGGGTAGCAGAAATACCTCCTGTAAGGTTGCTACCCTTCCTCTGCCCTTACTGTCTGTTCTTAAAAGGCTTTTGTCTTTTTATTTAAAACAGTTTTAGAACAAAATGGGGCTCAGGACCTGGAGAAGAATGGTGCTGAAGACCAGGATGAAATCTCCAAAACTGATCCAGAAATGACACCATTTGAGATATTTCTGAAGGACAAAAGGTACATGAGTTTGTGAGGAGGGTACCTGCAGCTGTATCAGTAAATATGATGTTTTCGTCCTCTGTATTTGATAGCATGTTGTCAATAGCTGGATGGGAGATGCCATAAAATGTGACGGTACTGAAGAAAGTACTTCTAGACATTGAATGGAGAGTGTTGGACAAGCATTCTAGCTTCTTTTCAGGCAATAGTGTATGGCTGAAAGCACCGTCTTTCACCTGACCTAAAGCCAGGGATTTTCTTACCGTTTATCCAGCAGACATACTGTGGTCATAACTATGGTCTAGCTGGAAGACAGTAGCTTGACAAAGGTTGTCTGGGGATCATTTTTGTCTTCCACATCTAACTCGGGTCATCTCGAGATGCTGGATTTCATTTAAGCTATGGAGATCCTCCACTTTCTGACTCAGTTTGGGCAGCTGCAGAACAATTCTGCAGTTTCTGGATACTTCGCAAAAACTTTGGCCAGTGTCAGCACCTGTCCTTCCTTCTCTTTTCCACAGCTACCGCTAGGGTCTCTGAGGAGACAACTGTGTGGCTCTGCTCCATCCTCTCCACTTTGTGAGAATGGTGCATCTTGCACTAGAGGAGGAATACTGTTCTGTGAATAGTGGAATCAGTAAATCCTTGTTTCTAATAGCTTCCTCTGTCATAGACTGTGTGGTAGCTAGCGAGGCATGTCATGCGGCAGCTTTTCTGTCAGGGAAGGTGTAAGGCCTCTCTCTGCTGTTAGCTGTGTTGTAGTCAAAGTTCTCCTCTGACTTAAATGTGTGGCCTTTTGGCTCTGTAGTTAGTTCTTACTTGATATTTGATGTCCTTCATGCCGTGGTGCTGGCTGTAGATGACAACACATCTTAGAGCAGCTGGATTCAGGCCCTCAGGACTTCAAGGCTCAAGTCCCTGCAAAAGGCCATGTAGTAACTGGACATTCTTTATTGTTTGATTTGGTCTTGCTACCGTTGATGTTATCTAATATTGCTTCCTCCTTAGATATCAAGATGATTTTCGCCCTTTGCTGGAAGGATGCACCTGTTACTGTTGTCAGAGGCATACTCGTGCCTACATCCATCACCTCCTTGTGACCAATGAGCTGTTGGCCGGTGTCCTGCTCATGATGCACAACTTCCAGCACTACTTCAGTTTCTTCAGTGCCATACGGGATGCTTTAAGAGACAATAAACTGGATCAGTTGAAAAAGCTTGTCTTCAGGCAGGCACTTCAAGGCCCAGCAAGTGCGAAGCCAGGCCAGTGAGTTCAGAGAAGGTTGCAGGCTACATCCTTATCCAGTGGGACTGTGTAAGGTGGACTGCCAACAGTGTCACCTGGACTGGTTAGTAGTAGAATGCCTTCCTTACTGGAGGAAATTGAAGGGGACATTTGAAGAAGATCTCACTTCCTGGTGGGGAAGGACGATCTTATTCAAATTTCTCTTTCAGTTAATCGTCTTGGTGCCTTCTCAGGGTATGGAGGGGCCTCAACAATTCACAAGACTGGTGTGGATAGCTTTGTTTACAGTTACTCACTGTTGGTTTTCCATGTGGCAGGACAGAATTATTGAACTTGTGATTGAAGAAGTGGAGCATATATTTTAAATTACTCTAGCTGCTAACAGGAGGCTCAGCAGCTGTTTGGGACTCTTACTCCATACCCAGTGCGTATTACAAGTAATTATTTTTCTAGAAAATCCCAGTGGTGTGGTTGTCCCATCACGCAGCTCCTTGATGAGAAAGCCTGTCTCAGTTGAAAACACTGTTCCTTATGGCCACTGCCAGCATCTGTCCTTGAAAAGAACTGACTGGAAGTGCTGCCGTGTTCAGTGGCACAAGGGACTGTATGTGTACTTCTCCCTCAGGCCACCTGCAGTGCAGAATGTTCTCTGGGCCAGGAGGAGGCCCTCCACCTCGGCCTGGCCTTGAAAACCCCTGACGTTAGAGACAGAAAGAAGAGAAGGTGTTTAACCCGTGTCCTGCTATAGAGGGTTTTTTGACTCTGTACCCTTTCACCTGTGCGGACTAAGATTTCACTCCCGCACTAGCATGTGGATGATAATGAATTCTTTCCAGCTGTCCTAGCACTGGTCAAATAGCAGGCTATGCAAATGTCAGTGACATGGAGCTGTGGAAGAGATGTATTGCAGGAAAAGGCATTTAGAAAAGATTCTTGTGGCTCCTTGTTTTAAAATATGACTTATTTCTATCATTCCTCTTACTTAGGTTTTTTTTTTTATGCCCCTTACACTGGAATCCTGGATTTCTTCATTTTTTGTTACAAAGTAACAATAAAAAAGAATTTATTATTAATTACATTGGCTCCTCAATGTGTGACAGAGGTGATGTACTGGAGGGCTTGAGTGCAGTACTCGAGAAGATGTCTTCTTGCCTTCGCAGCCTGCTGGAGGACAGTGGGTCATCTAGAAGTAGGATCCTGTCATGGAGCAGGGGTCCAAATAATTTGCTTCAAATAGAGCCCTAATAGACGGGGAAGCGTTAAAGACACCTGCCCGTCCCTCTCCCCATAAGAACTCTACTACCTGAATTAAGCTTAAAAAAATTCTACAGTTGAAGTTGCTGGCCTTCAAGCAATTAAGAATTAATCTGCAGTTTGCTCTTCTTCACCGCTTCTTCAATGTTCCAAGATTTTAATATCACATCAGAATGGCTTTACCATAGACTATAAGGAGTCTTTCCCTTCCCTGTCAGCATCACTTGTGCATCCCTGTTTCCTTGGGCAGGTACACAATGGTGTCAGAGTCCTTTTCACCATCTCAGCGTTGCCCTAACTATATATCTGTTCCACAGGATCCTAAAGAAATGGTGTAAAGACTGTTTTATTGTTGTCTTTAAAAAGAGATTACAAGGAATAATTCAACCACAGAAACTACATAAAATACAGGACTGATGTCCTCACCCTGAGGACACAGTATGTTATGATTGTTAATGTTGATGCAGCACTGGGCAACTTGGAGATAGTGTCCTGGATATACAGTGTGAGGTAGAAGGTCTGACATTTTCAGGATCCACCTATCTTGAAGGGCAGGGAATTCTAATGAAACAAAAATGTTTTGTGCTTCTTTCGAGAAGAATGCAGGATACGACGGTGTTGGGACCTTGCAATGCTTGTTTTTGCAACGTCTGTTTCTATAATGTGTCTGTGCAAAACCTTATGGGAGGGGGCATTGACAGTTTTGAAACTTCTCATTCACTCACACTTTCATATCCACATACAATCATCAAAATGCAGGAGTCAGGCCAGCATTCAGGCACCAAGACCCGTGTCTGGAGGTCTGTCAGGGATGCTCTGTGATGACACAGAGAATAAGGGATGGTGGCAATTGTGTTCTCCTCGTGTTGCCTGCATTCTTCTCCGGTTGGTAGCCCTGTTGCTAGTTTTGGAAGTGCCGTTTTGTACCCTTTGGGAGCTAGCTGTGATCAATCTCCCCATCCTGCCCCACCTCTGTTATCCTACTAAATCATTAGGATTTATTCATTTTTCTTTGTCTCCCAACCTGGGTGTTTTGAGAAGCTGCCCATAGCTGTACTAGGATCTTGGTGACCTGCTAAGTGACGTGTCAATAACATGCCATTCTCAGTATCCCTTTTGCTCTTCCTTCTGGGCTTCCAGTCTTTCCACACCACTGTGTTCCTGTTCATTCTCCATTCATACCGATCGGGTTTTCCTGTTAATGGTTCTCTGCTTAGCTTGTGTGTGTGTGCATGTGTGCGCCACAGCTGCACAAAGTCAACAATTTACTATTGGGCAAAATTTGCTCACAAATCCTGAACTACTGCACTAACTCTGAAACAACCTTAATGTGTTGTATTTACACAAGTTTTCAATCTCTCTGTCAGTCCTCCTAGTTCACATTTTAAATTTTAAGCAACATTTTTCATGCTGACTTAGAAAGTTTCTTATTTCCAAGCAGAGATCTAACTTCTTTCAAAAACAGAATTCTTGCCCTAATATGGGGAAGAAAACTACATGAAGAAAACTAAAGTTTTCATGGAGAAGTGAAAATTGATATGACTAAGGAGTGGAAAATTTTGTGCTAAATTAACTTTATTTATCATAGAAGACTACAAAAATATCCTTGACTGCCGTCTGTCCCCAAATGGCAGAATGCAAAAGAGCAGAACAGAATACAAAAGAGATGGTGTGTTACAAAAGCATTAGACCCTTGTACATCTTTCCCTTAGCAGCTTTTAGTGTAGCCTTCCCCTCGATAAAGAAACATCTTTCGTGTTGTTCTGTTTCTGATGAGAATAACTGGCAGGGCCCCATGTTAAATGTTAAGCCCTATACCCTTCTGACTGCTTCATCAGTATTCCTCTCAGTAACTTACTCCTTTCAGAGCTATTTTAATATTGCAAACTCTTCAGCAGTTTCAAAGGTATGCTTTAAAATGCATTAAGGAAAAAAAAAATCAAATTGGTATATCACAAAAATGTTTTCTCCTTTCCTTCAGGTATGTCATTTCTTCCCCCATACATTCACCCACTGCATCCATCATCTAAATTAGTAGGACACGGTGTCCATGAGAGGTGGTATCAAGCCTTGTCTGACAGTTTCTAGGTCTGCTTTTCTGTGGCTCTACAGGCTTGCAGGAGCTGCCCAAGACTGGAAGCGTTCCAGCAGGGTGTTCCATTTATTTCTACATCTCTTAGGTCCAGAGGGCTTTCAGGTCATGGGGTTTTTATGCATAGAAAAATCAGCTCCAGGTATGTTTCAGAGGTGCTTTTAAGCATTGGGTAGCTATTTTTTTTGCTTCCTGAACCCTGTTGATTTTTGATTCATAACCTCATTTGGCAGGCGAAGGGCTGTTTAAAAAAAAAAAAAGCCCAAATAAAATGTTAAAACCTTCCTCTCAGTAATTTCAGAGAGGTTTCCTCTGTGATATGGAGGGCATACACAAAAGAGATGATGGTGCAGGCCAGTTTAATGGTCTTATTTGTGGTACTCTGGGGTGATCTACATAATTCACTAGGAACTTCATCACTTTTCTGGTAATGCAGCGCTCACTTCTCCAGGCTATTCAAGATGTTCAAGCATGTGTTACCATCCCTCCTTAAGCACGTTCTGTAGGCATGATAGGACTTTTTCAAACAAAAAGAGAATGAAGTTAAATCCCTTTGGGAAGTTGGATCTAGGCTGGCAAAGTTGGTGCCGGCACAAAAGTGGTTAACCTCTTCCTGTAGCAAAATGTTCTTCTTGTTTCCCTGTTGATGTTGCCAGTGTGAGTAGTGTCCTTCAGAGTGCACAGTCCCCTCCCTGGTGGCATATTGGCTGGAAAAGGCAATACCTTCCCTGCCTTGCGGTGAGGTGATGATGAACTGCCTGGTTACTTCTACATCTGTCGTCTGTACGATTTAATTAGACTGGTCGGATGAAGGTGCAACACAGTGGGATGCTCTGTCATGCTTCTTATGTACCTTCTCCAGCTCCTGGCCTTGCTCGCTCCCCATCGGTTTGAAAACAGGAGAAAGCCTGCTCTCTTCAGCAGCTGTTTGTGTGTCCGAACATCTTGCAGAGCTCTTCGGGGAGCAGGTTTGGATGAGAAGGGGTTATTTCGTTAACTGGGGTTATTTCAAACTTCAGCCTGAAAATTTAAGAAGCTATATAATGGAGACAGGGCCATATATAAAGAAATGATAACTGCAGGCATCTGGATCTGCTAGACAGCTCAGGATTAGCCAGCTTCCTGTCTTCCCTATCCCACTGCTACTCTGTAAAGCATTTTCTGGTCAAGGGGATGGCCAATGCACTGGGAAATGCAATGGCTATGGTTCATGCCTGCGGTTCTACAGGACGAGGTACATCTCCTGTGCGTACTTGCAGAGCAGGTTGATTTGCAGACTGGTGGTGAAGAAAAAATCTTAAAACTACAGCCCTTCAATGTAAAGGTCCAGCACAGATTTTTCAGAAAAGAAAGGAGTGGTTTCAAGGTCCTTGCCCAGAGTTCTTGGACCCATTCCAGTGCTGTGTGATGCCTTCCCGTCTTGAGTTGACTGCCTTTGTGAGGTACTGGACATGTATTGCAAAGCATAACATGAATGTGGCTTTGTAGCGATGTTTTATGCTTGTTGCTCCCTGCTTCCCCTGGAGAACAGCTGGTTTGGCTTTTGACCAGGTGATCAGGGGAGGTGTTGAAGTGATGTAGCCAGCATCGTGCTGGAAGTCAGCAGAGCTGAGGCTACAAATCTGTCCTGAGCTTTTTAGATTGCCCTTCCCAGACCAGAATGGAACCCTCTACAATAT